AAAGAAAGAAAGAAAGAAAGAAAGAAAGAAAGAAAGAAAGAAAGAAAGAAAGAAAGAAAGATAAATTTGAAAGATGTCCATAAACTTTCTTTCTTTGTCTACAATTAAGTGATACTGGCTGGAAAGATTCTAGTGAAGAAAATGTTTTGATTCTTTCAAAACAATTAATGTATCCCCAGTTCAAGTATTTTATATTTCAGAATCAAAATAAAGAAGCAAATCTAAATGTAACACAATTTTTATTATTTACATTTGTCAAAGTTTTACAAATGAATAATTCAGCTTATACAATATCAGTTCTTCAATCTATCGTCCAAATTGGCTCATTGGCCCAGTATGCATTTGACCATTGCACATTTGGAGCAGATTGACTAATAGAATGCTTCCCTCCCCCCTTTATAGCCAACCTCATAGAGACCGGCTTGGAACAGATGAAACATGTTTACACAGAACTGAATCTCGCTTCCTTGAAACTTGGAAAAGCAAACCAAAGAAAAAAGGTATTTTACCATATTGCTATAAAAATTGTTGAATATCTGAATGATGTTCTTCCTATGCATTTTATATCCTTCTTTTTTTTTACATATGAGTTAGTGAGACTTACTCTCTTGTATATTTAGGTTTTAATAGGCTGGGGATGATGAGATTCCAACACTTCTGGAAAAACAGAATGGTCAATTTTTTTTGTGGGGGAGGGAGCACCTTGTATCATCATCAATGGATGGAATTTGTGGTTTAGGAAGATGAGAGTTGTGATTCACTTTGTCTGGAGGGCTGCAGGTGCTGTACACTTACTAAGAATGCTTCCTTAAGAATTATTTTTCTCTCCGGAATTTCTTAGCTTGTAGCATTACCAAGGCATGATATCACAATTTCAAATGTTTTGCTTTCAAAGGAGTGCATATTCAAACTTCCATTTGATTCTGAATATCAAGCACTAAAGGTTAACTGTTACATTATGGGGCAACTGCTTTGAAAAATAGCAATAATAGATGGCACAGAAGATGCTTATATTCCCTTTTAGCTACTACTTCACCTAGGTGGCCCTCTAAGGTAGGTTTGAACATAAGTGGGAGAAAGCACAGAATCTGCCTGTAAGGCATTCTCAGGCATGAAAAGTTAAGTAGCCTCTTCCCCTGCCTTACATTACATTATATCAGCAATCAAGGGCTGGCTGGAAATATTTACATGGTGTTTTACTTTCCCAAATCTTACACAGTATCTTGTATGCTTCAGAGGGGAAAGAAGAGGGCTGGAGGAAATAACTTATCTTAAGGACATCTATTAAAATCTTGCACTTCTCACTCTCAAAATTCTCATTCTGATATTGATTATGTGACGGTCTAAATCGACACATAAGATGCTCGCTACAAAGTGTATACCTGTCCATAAATAGGCTCTTATTGACAAAGGGAGTGGATAAGTGGGTGAGAGTAGTTTTTATTTCAACTGAATATCTTTAAAACGTAACTTGCTAATTAGCATTTCTCAAGTGATATGTGCCACTCTGTGAAATGATTAGAATGCCATTCAACCCAATCTTCCTCCGTGCACCTTTTAATCAGTTATTTTGTAGTCTTTGGGCAAAGAGGAATGATGAATACTAATTGGAAAGATATGCCACCTTGTTATGTCAACAAGTTTTTTTAGATGGTGTTCAATATTTTAATTTTAAATTTGTTTGGTCTAATTAGAAAAGTCTTTATCTTAATATGTCCTTCTATAATTATGTCAATAGAAAGAGCAGACCTCTGGTGAGCCTTTTACAATGAGGGTATTTATATTGTTCCATTCATCACATTGCTTTAGTTTCTTTGTTTTAGTGCTCTTTTGAGAGCAAATTATTTTATTGTCAGCCATTAGCTTTGTTCTGGTTGAAAATATGAAATCCAAAATAGATGTTGGGTAGCATTTGTCTTTCGAATGGTCTCTTCCTGTATTGGAATAGTGTCTCCCTGTGGTATCTTTGGAATGATCTCTCCCTGTATTGGAATAGTGTCTCCCTGTGGTCTCTTTGGAATGGTCTCTCCCTGTGTTGGAATAGTGCTCCCCTGTGGTCTGTTTGGAATGGTCTCTCCCTGTGTTGGATGGCCACTAAAGCTCACAGGGTTTCCACCGCCCATGAAAGGCAAATATTGTTTTCTTGATACTGGTGGTATCCATTCTTGTATTCATTAAGATTACGATAACCTTTGTTGTATGACATACATTAAAATGAAATTCTGATGCACGCTCTCAAAAGAAAAAAACATCACCCACCAAACAATGTCACCAACCCAAGTATAACCATAATAATATAATAATAGCAGTGGCATCCAAAAGTGCCAAGTTATACAAAATGGCGGCAAAACGTGCATACATAAATCATTGTCCTGTATGTGTTATATAAACCAGATTCTGCTTATATATTGATCCAAACCTGGGTACTTGAGAGACCGCCTACTGCCAATTACCTCCAATAGACCGATTAGATCCCGCAGATTAGGCCTCCTCCGAATTCCATCCACTGGCCAATGCCGGCTGGCAACCACCCGGAGGAGGGCCTTCTCTGGCCCTTTGGAACGAGCTCCCCATGGGGATTCGGACCCTCACCACTCTCCAGGCCTTCCGCAAAGCC